CAACTTTTCATAATTCTTTTTTTCTTTCTGTTTTTAATTAAGAAAATTTCCACAACAAGGAATATTCCATTGGGTTGAAAATACTACCGGATTAGAAAATCAGAGTTTGTGACAAAGATTCCTTATCGCGGTTCTTGAAATTCAAACTCAAAATTTATTTTCTGTGAATCTGAAAACATAAATAATTATATTTTTTAGATGTAAGACTGCTTTTTACACAGTTTTCAACAATTACAAGTGTTTCTGTGAATAAGATGATAATAACTCTGCACACCCTTAATTAGTTCATTCATATCTTCATTCAAATACAAAGCATGAGATATTACAAATAAGCAATAACAATTTACTATAAAGTTTGGACCCGCTTATCCAGGGTTGATTGTTTTGAGGGGTTGGCCCAAAGTTAATTAACGATACTGAATATAATTGGTTATACATATCAAGATATGTTTTTGGATAGGTAAGGAGTTGAATGGAAGGAAGGAGATTGTCAGGTGATCTGTGGCAGGGTGAGATCAGAGGGATTTTAATGTAGAGATAAATTAAAATTCAGGGTGTTAATGATGGTAGATACAGAAACAGAAATAAGCTAATAAAGTTTCAGCTATTTTAGTTGTTATATCAAATTTACTTATACGATATACAACTAGGTTTACCGCATAAACCTCTCATAATTCTCAAGTTAGTTCAAAGTTGAAAGCGTACAGTTCACGCAGAATCACGGTCTTGTTCAGGGCGGAGTCACGAGAGTTACCGATTGGGAAAAAGCAACCAAATCTAATTAGCATTGTTTTAAGAAAAATTTAAAGATATAATCATACATGTCATTTAATGAAATTAGGAATTTTCATAGAAATAATTAAATATTTGGATATTTATTAAATAAAACAATGCGTACAGTACAGGTACGCAAAAAATAGAAAAAATCTACATTGGTGTGCTAATTTCAAATCAGGGAAGTTCTGGGAATCATTGAGTCCATGCATTGAATCTTTACATTTCGGAATTGAATAAAAAAGCTTTATTAAACAATTTTAAAGTATGTCGACATTCAAATACACATGTACTGGTTCTGCCTGATCTAGGTGAACCAGATTGACACAGCTTTAAGTTAATTCTACGTGGGTCAGACACCTACAAATGGAGGATCAGTTGAAATTACATCTACAGTCTCTTTAAGAGAGAAAATTATATTTCAGAATGATCTCTTGAATTTTGTTCTTCTTTCAGAAAAGTTTTCATTTGATTTGCTTTGTCATGTAGAGTCAATGTTTTATTCATACTGCAGTCTAGCAAAATATCACTCTGCAGTATATTACACTGCAGTCTAGCAAAATATCACTCTGCAGTATATTACACTGCAGTCTAGCAAAATATCACTCTGCAGTATATTACACTGCAGTCTAGGAGAATATTATTCTATATTTTAGGAAAATATTACTCTGCAGTCTAAGAGAATATCAATCTGCAGGTTAGGAGAATATAATTCTGCAGTTCAGAAAAATATTAAACTGCAGTTTAGGAGAATATAAAACTGCAGTTTAGGATAATATTACACTGCAGTCTAGGAGAATATTATTCTTCTGTTTAGGAGAATATAATTCTGCAGTTCAGGAAAATATTAAACTGCAGTTTAGGAGAATATAAAACTGCAGTTTAGGATAATATTACACTGCAGTCTAGGAGAATATTATTCTGTAGTTTAGAAGAATATTATTCTGCAGTCCAGGAACATATTACTCTGTGTTTTGGAGACTATTACTCTAAAGTCTAGGAGAATATTACTCTACAGTCTAAGTGAATATCAATCTGCAGTTTAGGAGAATACCATTCTGCAGTTTAGAACATATCATTCTGCAGTTTAGGAGAATATTTAACTGCAGTTTAGGAGAATATTACACTGCAGTCTAGGAGAATATTTCTCTGAGGTCTATGAGAATATTATTCTGCAGTTTAGAAGAATATCATTCTGCAGTTTAGGAGAATATTATTCTTTAGTTTAGGAGAACATTATTCTGCAGTCTATGAGAATTTTATTCTGCAGTTTAGGAAATTTTATTCTACAGTTTAGGAGAACATTATTCTGCAATTTAGGAGAATTTTACTCTGTAGTTTAGAAGAATATTATCCTGCAGTTTAGGAGAATTTTATTCTGTAGTTTAGGAGAACATTGTTGTCCAGTCTAGGAACATATTATTCTGAGTTTAGCAGAATAATATCTTCTTTACAGTTTGCTAGTTCTTTTATAATTCTCCCAATCTGTAAAGGAATTGAGTCTTTGTCACAAACTCATATTTCCTAATCCCTATATCTTTGCAAGCTGATGTTTAAATATTTGATATTTCAAACTTATATTATTTGATCCAACATAACATCTAGTTTGAAACATCTAAGGTTCACGACATCGGGTTACAACGATGTAAGGATGAAAAAATTTGAGTTTCTGGCAAAAACTTTATTTCTTTATTTTTTTGTTTGTCACGCATTTTTATAAATTGGTCGAATTAGAAAGATCTGGGCGATAGAAAACTTGATGCACAAAAACTGGTTGAATAATATTTCTTTAATGCAGAAGTCCTCTCTGGTTCTCAGCCAATTCCAACTCAAGATTTGTTAAGAAACGTTGAAAGAGAAAAAAACTTTTGACAGTTTCATTACAGAAAAGAGAGAGTTTTATAACTAAGTAAGAAATAAGTTCTATTCAGCAATAATAACGTAGTTCATGAAATAAGATCTAGATCTACTCACCAATAATAGGATAGTTCATGAAATAAGATCTAGTTCTACTCACCAATAATAGGATAGTTTATGAAATAAGATCTAGTTCTACTCACCAATAATAGAATAGTTCATGAAATAAGATCTAGTTCTACTCACCAATAATAAGGTTGTTCATTATCATTATGTTTTATATTTTTAAATCATAATTTATTTCATTTTCAATTCTTGTTTGACTAAATAATTGTGTCAAGAAGGTAGCTCAAGACAATCATTACTGCAAAAGTACAGTAAATACAATTTTGTAATGAATAATGCAAAGGTCTGAAAAAAACGTGTTTATTAAGAAAAATACAGTATTTAATAGCTAAAAAGACATACCCAAAGTTTATTTGTTGTTCATGTTGTTGTAAACCTTTGAAATATCAAAGTATCCATTATACTAGAACAAATAATCAAAGTTTGAAATATCAAAGGTTTGCACCCCAGGTTGCAAAGATTTATAAAAAGAGGGTTTTGCAAGTTTTCTTCTTTGGCGTGTTAACACTCCTGTATGCCGAGTCCATTAGCATCTAATCCAATCAGGGTTCAGTGATATCTTTGTTGTCTATTCTGAACCAATAGAAATAGTATTACGGTTATAGCATCTATCTGGCTTTCTATCTCATTATCCACTTAAAGATATAAATTCTTCAATCGGCGCTATCAGTAAATGGAAATATTTACTTCTACTGAAACTATGGTGTTAAGGGAGGTTTATGTGAAATTCTTGTAATATAAACATCAGATAGATGTATTGACAAGCTGTTCATTCGAACCTTTTTGTTGAGCTTCCTGCCTTTAATATGTTAAGCTAGCTAAGAGAATGAAATCAGGAAACAACGGAATTCTGTTGTTTTATTTTGATTTTACAGCATTTGCAAAAAAGATTCTTTTTTAACCGACATATTTCTCAATTGTTTTACAACATTAACATTATTAACAATGTTGGGCATTATAATACTTTTTTCTTGAAAAGGTAAAACTAAATCCCTGCGGGAAAACAGTCCTTTTTACGGCAGGTAAAGGGTTTAAATTAATGTCAATAAAATGGATAAACTAGGATGTTATCTAACTTTCTCGGATCGTAAAACTTTTAGATCCTTTCAACGGATCATTAAATGGTTAGAAGGGGATCAAATGTTCTCTGATTCAAGTTTGCTAGTTTCTATTTCTGATTTCTAGTTTTCCGACCCATTGTGCAGAAACCACATTTTGGTTTCATGCCAAATTTTCTCTTCCGAAAGTTAACCTCTAATACAATAAATAACATGAAATCTTAATTCTTTTACAAGAAAAGTTTGTATTTAGTTGTGTTTGATACCAAAGAAAATAAGAATAGTTATTATACGGCAGCCATATTATAGTAAAATTGATTTCGAAGTAAAATATATTTGAGTAAAAGATTTGATTAATGAAATAAACTGCGAAAAGTCTTTTATAATAACTTATACAGTATTTGAAAGAAGACATTCAAAAATATTCAACAACTGTCATGTTTCGTGGGACGGGTGTATATAGATATATGGATAAAGATGCAGTATTTACAGATATATTTTCACAGTATTCCAAGGTTCAATGTTCTTAAGCAAAAATCCATCAACATTTCTCCAAATACTCCATTTAAACTAAATCTAGAATCAAGTCCATTGTAGATTTTAATGTACATGACTACAAAAAGTAGTAGAGTCGACCATGCTTTGAAAATTTATGCATAATAGATCTCTGTGTTTTTTCAAAAGACTATCTGTTGTGGGACCCACCGTTATCACAGTTAATATTTTTCTGTTTTGGAATTGAGTCTTTGGAACAAAATCAAATATTTAAACCTCAATATCTTTAGAACTCGATGTTGTAAACCTTTGATATTTCCAACTCAGATTATTTTATCTAACAGAATTCATGTTTGAAATATCTAAGGTCTGTAACATTTGGTTCCAAAGATATTGTGATTAGAAAATCAGAGTTTGTGGCAAAAACTCAATTCCTTTGTTGATAATTCTTAGTAAAATTTCTTCGGATTAAACTCTATTTAAACTTTAAAAATATAAGAATTCTTAGGACTAATTTTGTACATAAGCAGAGGGGTTTTAAATGCACACACTCAAATATTCGCTTTAAGGACGATTTATAGTTTTCATAATAATTGAAATAATGAAATTTCAAACAAGTATATAAAATTTATGAAGTAAAATTTCAGAATAAAGTTTACAAATGTTTTAATGTTTTATGATTTTTTTTAGAAAATGATGGAAGTCCATGAAAGAGGAAAATACTGAATCCTAACGACTGAGAAAGGTACAAATACGCATTGAAATAAATATATTAATAAATAATTATATTTTCTTATCTAATTATATACTTTGCAGTCTCTTTACTTCCAAATATTCTACATAAAGAAATAATTTTTGAATGGGTTTAATTTTAGAATTTTTATGAAATTCAGTTTCTGAATTGTTTAAATGTCAAGAAGTATGTTTAACTAACCTTTTCAAACCAGCTTTCTAAATTTCAGAAATTCAATTCAATGGTTCACATATTTAAGAGAACTGAAAATTTGCCACAGACTTATTCCTTCTTAATTCCCTAGTCTTTGCAACATAGTGGTGTAAACCTTTGATGTTTTAAAAATAGACTATTTGCTCTCACTGGGAGCCTAGTTTGAAAGATAAAAGATCTACAGCACCAGGTTGCAAAGATATAAGAATGATAGAATTAGAGTTTAAGAAAATTCTACAGTTCCTTCCTTTGTCTTGGAAATGCCAAGTAAAATGTTTTATATGTTGAACGCGCGTTCTTGCATTGAACACAATCAGATGTTACACCGAGACAAATGTAGATTAAATATATTGCATGTTTGTAAATTGTAAACTTAAAAAAACGTGTATTACATAAAATGTCTCAGATATCTTTAAAGCCTCTTAAATAAATCTTAAATGTTATAAAAACGAGTCTAAAATCCCAACCCTGAATAATGATGTGATGAACTATTGGTGAAACAAACGAATTAATTTCGAAATTAATCTTAATAGAACTTGAATATGAATCATGATACATTTTTTTGCCTGAATTTAAAGACCCTCAATACAATACTGTGAAAGATAACGTAATTGATTTAATTTAGATAAGTTTTTCTGAAACAAAAATTGCGCAAGTAACTGTTGCAGACCGAGTAACCACAAATAAAAATAAAAAGTTTACAAGCGCAACAAGTAAAACAGTTTTAAACAGTCAAAAAAAAACAAAAAATGTTCCTCTTTTATGCATTGCATGCCACTTCAATTAATGAAGATAACGTTTAAATAGCTTTATTTTGTATTTTTGTTAAAACCAGAGAAATCCGAAATCTAAATTATTCGGTTTTTAAGGAAAAGAAAATATTTTAGGTTATGTTTCTGTTGAAAAGATGAATCATCTAGTTCTTCTAACTTATATTCAACTTCTTCTTATTAGGTAATCTTATGTTCATCTTCTCATTAGGTAATCTTATATTCTCAATAGGTAATCTTGTATTCATCTTCTTCTCATTAGGTCATCTTATATTCATGTTCTCATTAGGTAAGCTTATATTCCACTTCTTCTCATTAAGTAATCTTATATTCATCCTATTCTTATTAGGTAATCTTATATTCATCTTCTGTTCCTTTAATCTATTCTATATTTATTTTCTTATCCTGTAATCTATTCTATATTAAACTTCTTATCCAGTAATCTATTCTATATTCATCTTTTATCCTGTAATATATTCTTTATTCAACTTCTTATCCTGTAATCTGTTCTGTATTCATCTTCTTATCCTGCAATCTATTCAAAATTCATCTTCTTATCCTGTAATCTATTTTATATTCATCTTCTTATCCAGTAATCTATTCCCTTTTCCAGTTCAGATTCCTTGTAAAAACTGTAGTACACTTTTGTTTGTAACAAAACATATATGACATTAATATTTGTTCTTTTTTTGGTTAATATTAGAATATTTCCTTGGTATAGCATGGACATACATGAGTCACTTAGATTTGTTAAGAATAGTTAAAAGGAACAATTAGTGCTGGGAAACTTAGCTATAGTGCAGCTGGGATACTGAGCTATAGTGCAGCCGGCAAACTTAGCTATTGTGCAGCTGGGAAACTTAGCTATAGTGCAGCTGGGATACTTAGCTATAGTGCAGGTGGGATACTTAGCTATTGTGCAGCTGGGAAACATAGCTATAGTGTAGCTGGGATACTTAGCTATAGTGCAGCCGGCAAACTTAGCTATTGTGCTGCTGGGAAACTTAGCTATAGTGCAGCTGGGATACTTAGCTATAGTGCAGCTGGGATACTTAGCTATTGTGCAGCTGGGAAACATAGCTATAGTGAAGCTGGGATACTTAGCTATAGTGCAGCCGGCAAACTTAGCTATTGTGCTGCTGGGAAACTTAGCTATAGTGCAGCTGGGATACTTAGCCATAGTGCAGGTGGGATACTTAGCTATAGTGCAGCTGGGAAACTTAGTTATAGTGCTGCTGGCAAACTTAACTATAGTGCAGCTGGGAAATTTAGCTATAGTACAGCTGGGATACTTAGCTATTGTGCAGCTTGCAAACTTAGCTATAGTTCAGCTTGCCAACTTAGCTATTGTGCAGCTTGCAAACTTAGCTGGGATACTTAGCTATTCTGGAGCTGGGAAACATAGCTATAGTGCAGCTGGGAAACTTAGCTATAGTGCAGCTGGGAAACTTAGCTATTGTGCAGCTGGGAAACTTAGCTATAGTGCAGCTGGGAAACTTAGCTATACTGCAGTTGGGAAACTCAAATAGGTTGACAAGTACAATAGATGGCAACACAAAAATCGACCAACTGCGCACAACGTCATATGTGGCAAATGAAAAAAGAAAGACGACATGTCCTCTAATTAGTTGGTAGGATTTCCAAGATTTGGTGGAGATAAATGTCGTCTTTGTAGGAATACGTAAAAAATAAATACAACTCAAAATTAGAAAGAGTATTTTTTCACTCGTTTGGTGGCTTAATTTTTTTCTCTGTATATCTCTGTAAACTAAATAGTCTGTTGCACTAATTTCACTAAAAGATAAGCACTTTAGTCTAACAATATCACTTTTATTTATAGTTTTGTCAGACAGAAAATTCGTGTTGACACTTATGACGTTTAATCAGCTGTAATGAAAGTGTACGCATTCTGTGTTGCCATCTATTGTACTTGACAACCTATTTGGGGAAACTTGGTTAAAGTGCAGCTCGGAAACTTAGCTATAGTGCAGCTGGGAAACTTAGCTAAAGTGAGGCTGGGAAACTTAGCTTTTGTGCAGCTGGCAAACTTAGCTGTAGTGTAGCTGGGAAAAATTAGCTGTAGTGCAGCTGGCAAGCTTAGCTATAGTGCAGCTGGCAAACTTAGCTATAGTGCAGCTGATAAACTTAGTTACAGTGCAGCTTGCAAACTTAGCTATTGTGCTGCTGGCAAACATAGCATAGTGCAGCTGATAAACTTAGTTACAGTACAGCTTGCAAACTTAGCTATTGTGCAGCTTGCAAACTTAGCTATAGTTCAGCTTGCCAACTTAGCTATTGTGCAACTTGCAAATTTAGCTATTGTCCAGCTTGCAAATTTAGCTATAGTACAACTTGCAAACTTAGCTATTGTGCAGCTTGCAAACTTAGCTAAAGTGCAGCTGGCGAACTTAGCTATTGTGCAGCTTGCAAATTTAGCTATAGTACAACTTGCAAACTTAGCTATTGTGCAGCTTGCAAACTTAGCTAAAGTGCAGCTGGCAAACTTAGCTATTGTCCAGCTTGCAAACTTAGCTAAAGTGCATCCTTGCAACTCTAGCTTTAGTGCAGCTTGCAAACTTAGCGATAGTGCAGCTTGCAAACTTAACCAAAGTGCAGCTTGCAAACTTAGCTATTTTTGCAGCTTGCAAACTGAGCTATAGAATAGCTTGCAAGCTTAGCTATAGTGCAGCTTGCAATCTTAGCTATAATGCAGATGGCAAACTTAGCTATAGTGCAGCTGGCAAACTTAGCTATAGCGCAGCTGGCAAGTGTAGTCAAAGTGTTGTCAATCTGCGCTGCGGCGCTATTTTTGCAATTGTCATTTTTGTTAGAACATTTTTATTATATACATACATTATAAACCTAGAAAACGTGAATATTTCTAAACAATATGAAAAACTCAGCTGGGACAGGAGAAGGGGCAGAGAGCTGCAGCTAGGACAGAATAAAACATTGTCCCGTAGAAAAAAACCTATAGAGCATAAATCACATATCATAATAGATAAATAGCAAAAAAGACACAGAGGTAAAACTTCATTGGCAAAAAGGCCGCTAGCAAAAATTTCTCTTGCAAAAATATCGGAGCGCATCTCATACAACGATGGAGAGTAAAAGCATCAGGGGACAAAGGAATTGAGTTTTTGTCACAAACTCAAATTTTTTAATCTCTATATTTATGTAACCGGATGATGTAAACCTTTAATATTTCAAACATAGATTATTTGATCTAACAGAATTAATAGTTTAAAATAATAAAGGTCTACAACATAGGGATAAAAATATATAGGGATTAGAAAATCAGAGTTTGTGGCAAAAACTCAATTCCTTTAATGAATAAGTTGTTGAACTGGTTCAGTTTAGTCTACTTAGTTTACTACTTGTTTCCCGGCCGCCCCCCCCCCCCCCTATCTAAATATACAATGCCCTAGCTATCTACTCTACCTTAACCTAACCTGGAATACATATATGGGTAAACATCAAAACATCAAGGAGGGATTGAGGGGGGGGGGGAGTCACTGATATACGGATTAAGTCTTTATCTGCTTATGTTTTAGTACTGGTGTAGTATTAGTAAGCTCGGATGGTGGTCTATATTCGGCTGGTTTAGCTACAACTAACCCTAGAGATCCTGATGAGAACCTGGTTCATGATAGATATTCAAGGTGTGAACCCTCAACCCTTAATATATATCCGGGTCTAGGATTAGCTTGTCTAGCTCTCTACATTAAAGCATGCTGGAAATAATGATTGTATCTGTGTCTGTGATGTTATTATTATTTTCCATTTTCTAGGATCAGTTTTTTTCTAAATCACATTCAAACATATTTTTCTGCATAAGAATAATTTTATGTTTTTTCGAAGTTTTAAACTAGCTTTGACTCTAATAAAAGGTCGTTCCGCATTATATTGGCATATTTATTATAATTAAACATTAATTAACATAATTAGGAGTTTTTGCAGTTTGCACGGAGCACTGAATATATCAAATTTAATCTGTTTATTTTTATAAATAAATATGTCTAAATGTCACACAAACGTCACAACACATCACCCCTGTTTGCAGTGTTGAAAACAATATGGGCTAACAATCAATATTTCAGTTTGTTTTGATGAAAAGCTTGAAAAATTGTATAATTTTAACTAAATCTGATTTAGATCAGTTGTTTAATCCTATTATTCTGCAATTGTTAAAAGATTATCGAAATTTCGCATTATTAATTATGCAACATTCAATTAAACTTCAATCAGAATCTGTATTAGGAATTTGGAAGCGTTTTTCTTTTTACTTCGATTTTAAACTATTGGGCTGATTTTCGATTAATCAATTTAAAGTAACAAAAATTTATTACCTTTGACGAAAATTTATATATTTTGAAAAAAACATCATTTTAACCAAAAAACATATTTTGACAAACGTTTAAATATTTTGACGAACATCACTATCTACTAGGAAAAATTGGAAAAAAATTCTAAATATTTTTAGAAAATACCAGTTAGTTTGACAAAAACGCAAATATTGGGAAAATTATATTAAATGAATATACATAACCTAATACTAAATTGGAATTTGATCTAACAAAGTAATGTATTCGAAATAAAACATTGTCCAAGTCTGCACTCTGCATCATGCATGTACTAATACTTTTCAAGGCAAACTTGTGCAAAGATTTGTCCAGAAAATCCGCTAAAAATTTAAATGTAAAATCTGCAAAAAGTACAAGTAGAGACTAAAGTTTTCTTGTTTTAGATCGACTACTCCGACCTATGGACCCCCGCATTCTGTCGAGGAGTTTCCAGTCCACGACACGAACAGGAAACAAAGATACATTTATTCCTGTAAGGCTGTAAACCTTATATTTATATGTATATATAGATATATATATATATATATAAATATATAAATATATAGAGAACATCTGGACCTTACATTAGAACATTCCCACAACTCTATGAGTCTAAAAACCAAGAAATATCAAGGAAAGGATTACCTATGCGGAATAGAAAAGGAACTCATGGTTTACAAATTAAGTTTCTGGGAGGAATGTAAACAAACTAAGAGCTGAGCGTTGTTAATATTCCTTCCAAAACTGCAGTACAAAAAATAAATAGGAATTCCTCTTTAAAACCTTGTGTGACCACATACTAATATTTTTAAACATGTACTGCAAATTTTTGGGAAGAATGTAAACAAACACTGAAGTACACACAAATCGTTGTACCTTTCTGGTTTTATTCTTCATTGGTTTATTATAAACATTTTTCTGTAGAGAATTATTTCCGGAAAAAACTAGTTTTTATACACTTGGTATTCTGCAATATTGGATATTATTCCAGAAACCTTTTAGGCCTGCCCTCCCCCCATACATTATAANAATCTACTTAAAAGGATTCTTCACAACAAAAAGGAAATGGGGAAGACAACAATTTAATTGGTAATTTTTGAGTGATTTACTTAAATTATTTTTCCCCTTCTCTTAACTAATTTTTTTCTGGTAAAAATAACTTACTTTTAATAGAAAATATATTAATCATTTCCTGAAACGATTGTCTGCCAAAAGTCTACATATTATTGTAAAAATTTGGTTTGAAATGATATTGAAAAAATACCCCGCAACTGGAAAGACAGGAATTCTTATTACGGACATAACGACATAAATAACATAAATTTAGTTAGTATTCCCTTTTAATTCATAGCGGAGATCAAATTCCTAAGCATGCATAACCGAGTAAGAAGAATTCTAGGAAAAGTATTTATTAGAAAAGTCCAAAAAAATTAGGATTTTGAAAAAAAAATACAAAATTCTTGAGATTTTTTCTTCTTCTTTATTTTCAATATATTTACTAAATGATATAAAAATGAAATTTTTTCGCTTATTACGAGTATATTTTATGTTATTTCGTTCTGTATGGTATTTGGGCAGCAACTTAGCAACTTAAGAAATAAAACAATATAGACTATTTATATAAAGATAACGAAGAGAGAAAGCTACCTGAACTCCCTGAACAAAACACTAATTTTTATTTGTGTAATAAACGCAAACATTTCTGCACAGAGAAGCGCTGCAGCACAAAAGCATAGATTTGTTACAACACTGTCAGGTTGGATTCTCCGAGGTCGGTTTAAATAGCATAGATTTGTTGCAACCCTATCAGGTTAGTTACTCCGAGGTCAGTTTACATGTAGCATAGATTTGTCACAGCCCTGTCAGGTTGGATTCTCCGAGGTCGGTTTACATAGCATAGATTTGTTGCAACCCTATCAGGTTAGTTACTCCGAGGTCGGTTTACATAGCATGATTTGTTACAGCCTTGTCAGGTTGGATTCTCCGAGGTCAGTTTACATAGCATAGATTTGTTGCAACCCTATCAGGTTGGATTCTCCGAGTTCGGTTTGCATTGCATAGATTTGTTGCAACCCACTAGCTTGGTTTCTCCGAGGTCGGTTTACAAAGCTCAGTTTTATTGCAACCCTGTCAGGTTAGTTTCCCCGAGACGGTTTAAATAGCACAGATTTATTGCAACCCTATCAGGTTAGTTACTCCGAGGTCAGTTTACATGTAGCATAGATTTGTCACAGCCCTGTCAGGTTGGGTTCTCCGAGGTCGGTTTACATAGCATAGATTTGTTGCAATCCTATCAGGTTAGTTACTCCGAGGTCGGTTTACATAGCATGATTTGTTACAGCCTTGTCAGGTTGGATTCTCCGTGGTCATTTACATAGCATAGATTTGTTGCAACCCTATCAGGTTAGTTTCTCCGATGTCAGTTTACATAGCATAGATTTGTTGCAACCCTATCAGGTTGGTTTCTCCGATGTCAGTTTACATAGCATAGATTTGTTGCAACCCTATCGGGTTGGTTTCTTCGAGGTCGGTTTACATAGCATAGGTTTGTTATAACCCTATCAGGTCGGTTTACAACGCTCAGGTTTGTTGCAACCCTGTCAGGTTAGTTTCTCCGAGGTCAGTTTACATAGCATAGATTTGCTACAACCCTGCAGGTTTGTTTCCCTGAGGTCGGTTTACATAGTATAGATTTGTTACAACCCTGTCAGGTTGGTTTCTCCGAGGTCGGTTTACATAGCATACATTGTTGCAACCCTATCAGGTTTGTTCTGCAGGCAAACAATCTGATGGTAAACCATTAATAAAGCTCTCAGACCATAATAAATATCAGAAATAAACATTAAGCTACAGCTAGATATTATTTATACCCTTTTTCAGAATATTTTCTTTTTCTTTTGCATCTATATAAATTCTTTGCTTGTCTGTCTTTCTGCCAGGGAAGGTTAATGTTTGATCAAATTTTCAAAATTCGATTTTTAAAAATTTTGAAAATCCACGAATTTTTTTATTTAATCCGCGATATTTTGTGTTGTTTTTATTTTAAAATGTAATAAAAGAGCAAATGTTCACAATGTGTTCTAAAGCCTTGTTTATACATACTTTGCTTGTCTGTTTGTTTGTATCCAATAAACGCCAAAATGGTTGAACCCATCGGGCCCAAAATTTGTTTGGGACATCACGTGACCCCAGGGAAGGTTTATGGATAAAAAAATTTCAAACATTTGCCGACAACAAAATTCGATATACATAAAATTTTGAAAATCCACGATTTTTTTTAGAAAATCCGCTACCTTTTTGTTTGTTTGTGTTTTACAATGTATATTAAATATTAACAATTGAAATAGAAGATGGGCGCGAAGCCCCCTAAAAGCCTATTAAGTACAGGTATATTCTTAGCCAAATAATTAGCAGTTTAGTCTTTAACTGCCCTAGTTCAGGTCATATGCGTCTTTAAATTTTCAGAAAATTTTGTGCTCGAAATTTGTTTATTATAACTTGGTTGAGGTGGAGCCGATATTTTCAAAAATATGATATAATTCTACACAAAATACAAATAATACTAGGGTTTATTTTTTTATTAAATAAAAATAATAGTAAAACGTTATTTCCTGTTTTCGAATTTTTGTATTTTTTGAAAGTAGAAATTCCTGGCGATCGTTTTCAATTTAATTTAGCATTTTTGATTTGCAAGCATTATACACGTTGCCTACCCGGTTTGCAAAACTTATTAAATAAAATCAAATTAAATAAATGCAGAAGCGTGTAAAGTTAAATATTGGCATAAATGTATATTTTATGTTTATAAAGTACTGCACAAGTTTAACCTAATATTTTAAGTATATTTATATAGTTACTACCATACCTTCCGAATACTTTAGGCTACACTGGGTAAAAAAAATCTTTTAATGTTTTACATTATTTGTTAAGAATAGAGCAGAGCAGAGCAGAGCAGAGTAGAGCAGAGCAGAGTAGAGTAGAGTAGAGTAGAGTAGAGTAGAGTAGAGTAGAGTAGAGTAGAGTAGAGTAGAGTAGAGTAGAGTAGAGTAGAGTAGAGTAGATTAATATTTAATTAGGTAACAAATTATGAAATGTCACCCGAATAAAGTAAATCCACTGAAAACAAGAAAATAATTTCGGATAAAAGCATTTGATTTTATTAAAAAGAATGATGTTTTAATTTTTTTAAGCAACCTCATTCCTAGTAAAAAGAAAATAGTTCACGGTAGATTTTTTAAAGTGGATCTATTGTTATTGATTAAAGAGATAAGTACGAATCCTTTAACTGCGTATTTGCCTCTTGAGGGGGGTGGGGTCATCAATAGGTTTAATTGTTTGTATATTTATCTGAGTTTAACCCCTGACTAGATGTAAACCTAACTCCACCTACGTCTGGTGTCTTCCAGCAGATTACAACCAGGAGAAGCATCCTTTCTCATGTTAGTTCACTTTTCAATCAATCAAAGAGACTGTAGTCGTAATTTTAACTGTCATTCCATTTCTAGAGAGGGGCAGATTATTTTATTAAAGGGTACCTTATATTACACTCCACAATAATGGAGGGGCACTTGAAATTGCGCATACACTCCCTTTAATCAATCAATATCTAATCAATCAATATTTACTCAATTAATTTGTAATGAGTCAATATTCAATCAATCAATATTCATCCAAATTATACGTAATTAATCAATACTTAATCAATCCATTTTCAATCAAGCAATATTTATTAATCAATTTTAACCAATGTTAACAAAGATAATAATTTATTTATTATAATCAATTTGTAAATAAGAATTACCTTTGTCTAAATTCTGCTATGATTAAAAAGACCAAGTTTGACATATCAAATAGGAATGGATTAGAAAATTAGAGTTTGTTGCGAGCGATCATTTCTTTTAATGAACACATGATGAAAACTGACAAACCCGATTAATATTTCAAAAATTGATTAATTTAATAAACTCTTAGTATTGAATCATTAGTCAATTATCTAAAACAATTAATAATTTAATCACCCAATCAATTAATAATAAAATCAAATAATCGGTTTACATAAGATGCATTTTAGACGTAATTCAAGTAACCCTCCATTTGTAAAGTGTCATGTGCAATTCACAACTAAACACTTTCTACCTTTGTCTTCAATTCAAATTATCATAAAAGCATTAAATTATTTAACCAAACTGAATTTATTATTATTATGATTTTAGTTCCCTTCCTCTGTCATCCTTGGTTAAAATTATACCTTTTTCTAGATTTCTACATGGTGAATAAATCTCTCCCTTGGGATTATGAATTCAGATTCGTCATTGAAGAGATTAGTAATATCAATGATAAGTCACAGGTTAGCCTCAAGAATTATTATTCATAGAAACTATACCTGGAAACTTTATATGGAAACATATTTTATCAATATTATTATTATTATTATTAATATTATTATCATTACCATTATCATTATAATTTGTGTTGTTAATATTAATAAAATTTAAAAAGCCATGATTTTTGTTTATTTATGAAAATTATCCGTTGGTCATGGGATTATATTGATTTTTAGGTAAATAGAAATTCAGTAAACTTTATGTATGTTAACTGGTGTTCCGGGGTAATATTTTAGTATGGAACGATCATACAATATCTGTAGAAGTTTCAGAAAAGTTTATAAAGTAATTTCACGGAAGGTATAGAAAATAATCTGTTTTCAAACTAAATAAATATTTCATACTTAAATATTCAATACATTTGTATGCATTTAACCATAACTCGCGATTTTATTGAGGAATAAAATGATAATAATTTGGAAATGTTCAAAGTTGATTTGCATAAGACAGAGAGAGAGAAGGTCAATTTTTTTTACATTTTTCCAACAGCTTTGTGACCTCTTAGCTTCTCATATTTTGATGATGTACACAAGTATGAGAAAAATATATATTTGGTTATATACAGGGTGTCCCAAAAAACATGGGAATTCAGTGACGAATTCGATATCGTCTTTTCAAATAATTCTTTGATTTAGTATAGTGATACCTACTGAGAAAGCTGTAATCTGTAAGAGTTTCGTCTGCTATGTTTACATTTTGTTTGTTTATGTTTTGACTGCATACGGTTCTACTTAGTAAAACAAGAAAACTACAGTATACAAACAGAGTAAACTTGTCCGTATTCACTGTTCATCTTGCGGAGACATTATAGACACATCTTTGCAGTCGTTTACCCTTTTCATTAAATAAACTCTAGCAGACATAATAATATTATGGTTTTGAAATTAGGTATTACAATGCTAATTCATAACAAAGACGATATCGAATTCGTCACTGAATTCCCATGTTTTTTGGGACACCCTGTATTATAAATTTAATAGTTTTATATAAGAGAAGATATGATTGAAAACATATAATATTTCGATCATACATACAAAAACAAATTACTTAAATTTGACGTACAATTAGCTGCAGTGTTATCAAATCTGAAATAACTGAAAGGAAAACTGCAGAATGATTTTTGCCTACATTAATATTTAGAAAAAGGGCGTTATATCTTGAAGAAATTGTTTTCATTTGTCTTGAAGAAGAAATATCAAATAAATAATTAATTTTTTCTTTCTTTTTCTCCCATTCCCTCTTCCTACTGTCATTGGTTCCCTCTAAAAGATTTCTTGACATTTTGCACAACCATGGTTTAATATTCTCCATACACTCTTTACATAGTTTATACATACATAGATAACTAAATAAACATTCAATCATGGAGAGACCTGAGTCCTGGCTGAAAGATTGTTGATTAAACAATAAAGAATGTGACAGGGAATAACAAGGAATACAACATGCAAATATGGATGTGTTTACTCCCCTCCATAAACTATATAAAGTAACAATAGATAACAAAGAATGCTTTTAGCCTTTTACTGCTTTAAATCTAAGTCAAGATTATATCACTGCACTTATATGCACCATATGGACCAGGACTAGGGGAATCTAGTGACTAGGGACCAAGGAAATCTAGGAACTAGGTCCAGGGGAATCATGAACTAGAACTAAGAGCATGTAGGGACCAGGACCAGAGGAATATAGGGACCAGAATCAGGGGGAATATAGAGACCAGGACCAGGGGAATAAAGAGGCTAGGACCAAGGGAATAAAGGGACCAGGACAAGGGGAATATAGGGACCAGAATCAGGGGGAATAAAGAGACCAGGACCAGGGGAATTAAGGGACCAGGACAAGGGGAATATAGGGACCAGAATCAGGGGGAATATGGAGACCAGGACCAGGGGAATAAAGGGACCAGGACATGGGGAATATGATAGGGACCAGAATCAGGGGGAATAAAGAGACCAGGACCAGGGGAATTAAGGGACCAGGACAAGGGGAATATAGGGACCAGAATCAGGGGGAATATGGAGACCAGGACCAGGGGAATAAAGGGACCAGGACATGGGGAATATGGGGACCAGAATCAGGGGGAATATAGAGACCAGGACAAGGGGAATATAGGGTCCATAATCAGGGGGAATATAGAGACCAGGAACAGGGGGAATAAAGGATCCAGGACAAGGGGAATATAGGGACCAGAATCAGGGGGAATATGGAGACCAGGACCAGGGGAATAAAGGGACCAGGACAAGGGGAATATAGAGAACAGAATCAGGAGGAATATAGAGACCAGGACCAGGGGAATCCAGGGACTAGGGCAAGGGGAATATAGGGACCAGAACCAGGGGAATGTAGAGACCAGGACCAGCGGAATATAGGAACCTGGCCCATTGGGACATTGGGACCAGGACCAGGGGAATATAGTGACCAGAACCAGTGAAATATTGGAAATTAGACTAGGACAAAGGGCATATAGAGACCAGTATCAGAAGAATATATCAGGAAACTATATCTGGAAACTTTACCTGGAAACTATATCAGGAAACTATACCTGGAAACTATATCAGGGAACTATATCAGGAAACTATACATAGAAACTATACCTGGAAACTTTATATGGAAATTTTATCTGGAAACTATATCAGGAAACTATACCTGGAAACTATATCAGGGAACTATATCAGGAAACTATACCTGGGAACTATACCTGGAAACTATATCTGGAAACTATATCTGGAAACTATACCTGGAAACTATACCAGGAAACTATTTCTGGAAACTATACCTAAAAACTATACCTGGAAACTATACCTAGAAACTATACCTAGAAACTATACCTGGAAACTATACCTGGAAGCTATATCAGGAAACTATATCTGGCAACTATATCTGGAAACTAAATCTGGAAACTATACCTGGCAACTATACCTGGAAACTATATCAGGAAACTATATCTGGCAACTATATCTGTAAACTATATCTGGAAACTATACCTGGCAACTATACCTGGACACTATATCAGGAAACTATACCAGGAATCTATAGCAGGAAACTATATCTGGTAACTATTCCTGGATACTATACCTGAAAAATGTATTTGGGAACTATCCAAGTCCAAAAGATGAAATAACAGCTTTACTTGGAACTCAATAAAATAGAAAACATTTAATATTTGTATGGACAGGAGTAAATTGAATTATGACATGAAACCGTGATACGGAGAAAACAGAAATCAGTTGCTGTAGACATAAAACTTTGATTAAAAACCCAAAACATTGATGAAGGAGATATCTTCATGTTTTTATCATAAAATTGAAAAGATACAGCCAACTCATCAAGTTAAGACAGTGTCTCAACGCCTTGTCCCTTGGTTTTCCTCACTAACTTACTTTTTTCTACCCCTATAATAATGTAAATCGCTTAAGTTTCTAACTTAAGTTTAAAAGAAGTGATTGGCAAAATACTGCTTGATTTTTGCATAGGAGTGTGCACATCTTGGTTTTTATAGAAAATAATAGAAAAGATTTCTTCAAGCTAACACATTATATAGGTCATCAATGATCAGCTAAATATTCGTTGACAAACAGTTAGATATCAAAATATTTCAATATTATTTAAATCGAAATGAATATTAAATATGTGGAACCTGAGACCCAAATGAAAATGTTTGCTATGAAACTAAAAACAATTTTTGGCAGGAACAGAGAGCAATGTTGAACATACAATATTCTCTTTGTTCAAATATAAAATTTCAGATGTTTTAAATTTAAAACAACATTTTTAATAAATTTAATCTTTTAATTTTAAAATTCCATGCAGAGAAAGAATCTAAAAATGTTTTACTGTTTATTTATTTATTTATCTATTTATCTATTTATCTATTTAACTATTTATCAGCTACCTAACCTGCTAACTATTTAACTATCGAATTTTAAAGATATAAAATGGATCTAAAAATGCTATTTTGCCAGTTTCAAGCTTGTTGAACATGAAATAGGCAACAAATGACATTGACATTTAGAAAAGATCAATATATAGTTGTTGACCTTTAAAAAAGGTCAAAAAATATTCTAATAAAGAAATCAGAAAAAAAACCAAATATTCTATAACATTTATTTATGAAAAATAATATTGTTTTGAAATATTTGACCAAGACATAAAGATTGCAAATTGGTTGGTTAAGAAATTAATAAAGGAAAACGACAGACATCAGCAGCAACTTCATGTTGGTAATTAATAATAAAAGCATATTGTTGTTCACTGTAAATGAGAGGTTCTGGTCTATTTTAATATTTAAATACAAAAAGCCTCTTATTATATTTTTGGCGGAATTTGAATGAGAGATCAAAATATGAATAAAAATACTCCAATGCAGACAGTATGCACTTCACTCTCCACAAAATCTTCACTATTCCTTCGATCAGTGTACTGCACATTACTGCAGTACATTTAGTTTAGTTGAGGGGGAATGATAGCTTACCAAATTTTGTCTTGTAAAAGAATGTTTAAGAATTGCTTGCATGATACTGCAGCTTAAACTTTAATCATCAAATACACGCCAACTGCAGTCCCCTCTTCCTCTCTATTCAAGTTGAAAACTCATTAATCTAGCGTGAATTATGAGGTTAAAGATTATTAAAGCTTTCCCAAAAGAAGGGGGGGGGGGGCTAAGAGGGGATTAAATATGAAAGAGCAAATATTAGGTTTTAATTAGAAAAGAATATGAGGTGCATAATAGTTTTCTACATTGTTTCCTTACAAGAAAGCAGACTTCATTCAATAAAATTATTGATTAACTTACTTATATGCATATACAAAGTTGTAATCTCTGTCCGATCATAACTCAGGAATCCTTCGACAAATGTTTATTGAGGAACTCGGGAGACCCACGGGAATGTTCTTAGCTTGATTTCAAGATTCTAAGTTGATTGGGTTGACTTTGATAACGAAAACTTAGTTTCCCGGTAAAATCGTTCAAGTCAGGGGTAAACAGCGGGAGTAACTATGAGTAACCTGGGGAGGGCAAAGATTCCCAAGCTGGAATTGGACTTTGACTCTTAGATTAAAGTTTTGACTTTAAATAGTCTAATAAGCTTAAGGCGACGGGCGAATTTTTGGTAACGTCAATTTGGTAATGACAATTTGCTAATGTCAACTTGGTAAGGGGACAATTTGGTAAGGACTATTTGGTAAGTACATATAAGTGACAATTTGGTAATGACAAATGGTTAACTACAAAAAAGTGACAATTTGGTAATAACAATTTGGTAACTACAGAAAAGTGACAATTTGGTAATGACAATTTGTTAGAATATAAAAATTACAATTTGGTAACTACAAAAAGTGGCAACCAAGTATATAACTATATAAAAGTGACAATTTGGTGACTTCATATATCAGGTTACAAAGATATAGAGATTAGTTTGTTGCTAGTTCTAAGTTCCTTTATAGTCTAAGTAACTTTTGTTAACCTTTAGTACGTTAAAAAAAAAAATCTTGATCAATGATCAAACAAAACACAATAGACTGTACTTGGGTATATACGAATAATTATTAAAAAAAATATAATATTCTCATACTTGTGTTTACAATGTGTAATTGAATTAGGTTTAGATTAAATAGATTTAAAAAGCAAAACGTCGATTTCCAAAATGTTACATTATGTTGGGTAAGGTTAGGTAAAGACAATTTCTGGGCCGAGCGCTGGGGCTAGGGGGGCCGACCGCTGCGGCCTCTTAAATGTTGAATAATGTGCTGTCTCTCTCATTATTTTGGGTTAGGCTGGGTTTAAAAGTGTAGGGGCCGAGCGCTGCGGCTAGGAAAGGCTAGCCGAGCGCTTGCGGTCTCTTTAATGTTTAATAATTTGTTCTGTCTCTCACATTATGTTGGGTTGGTGGGGTTAACACTACTTCTAGGTCGAGTGCTGTGGCTAGAACAAGTCTATTACAGTTACAAAATTTAAAGAACATTGCTAAATAAAAAGCTTAAAATAATCAGCTAAAATCAGCGCTCGGCCCATAAATAGTCTTTACCTAACCTAACCCATCATAATGTAATTAATCATTTATTGATAATTGCAAATATGTATACTTGATTATCCAAATTTTCACCTTAGCAAATTGTCATTATCAAAATGTCACTTTTATGTCGTTACCAAATTGTCATTATCAAATTGTCACTACCAGATTGTCACTTTTATGACGTTACCAAAATGTCATTACCAAATTGTCATTAGTAAATTGTCATCACCAAATTGTCATTACCAAATTGTGATTATCAAAGTGTTGTTATCAAATTGTCGTTACCAAATTGTCGTTACCAAATTGTCATTACCAAATTGTCATTACCAAATGGTCATTACCAAATTGACAATACTAAAAATCCGCCCATCCATGAGGCGCAGCCATTGTGCAATGTAAATTGACCTATTTTACTTAATAAGTGATTTAACAATTATACTAGTAAAGCTATTTTCTTTGTAACAACATCAAATGTACTTCAGTATTTCTATAATGTTGTCTTTCTTTTCCTCAGTTTTCTGGTTATCACTGTGTAATAGATTTTTTTTATACAAAAAACTTTATTTTGAAAATAAAAAACTATTTTCTCTAGACAATGTCGGTATCGATGTACTTTGCTGTTTCCTGGCTAGAACCAAGGCTACAGATTAATGAATCTGCTCCAGAGTGGTCAGAGGACAGAACAGGACCCCCAGATGTAAGTAAATGAAATGACCTCCAGGCATAAGTATAAGACATTACCTACAGACGTACATATATGAAATGACCTCCAGACATAAGTATATGAAATGACCTCCAGACATAAGTCTATGAAATGACCTCAAGACGTAAGTATATAAAATGACCTCCAGACACGGTGTACTTGTAGAATCTGTGAGGCTCGCGGTGGTGGGGGTGTCCCTCCCACCCCTGCCGGAGAATAGGAAGTTGTATCAATGAGCGGAAATGTTGTGCTGCAGTTTTATCAGCTCATTTTAATATTTAAAATTATAATTAGCTTACCATGAAAATAACAATAATTATACAATCATAATCCATTATCAGGGTTATTTCCACTGAAGGTAATAAAGTCTGAGGGAAAATTGATAATTTCTTTTTGAAAAAAAAACATATTGAAAAAGACAAATTCTATGATTTTATTTGAAAAGTTTTAGAAAAAAGTGAAGGCCTATCAAGAATTTCTCTTGTAAAAGGTATTGACGACGTAATTTCAAGTGGCCGTGTTTCAAGTGTGGATTTGTTTTGTAGAGTAGAAATACAATTGACAAATTTTGGGTTTTTATAAGATAGAAAAATAATGATATCGGTAAGTGAACCGTCATTAATATAGGGTAAAAGCAACACACTAAGGGGATATCACTTTGAATTACGTTGTCAGTAGAGTACGATAGACACCGCCCGTTCCTCCCCCATTTCTACATTATGCTAATACAAGTAATGTTATGTGAGGTCTTGTAGTAAATTATTATTCCTTTTTCTGTATATGGTAAAGTAAACCATTACTCCGGCATATACACCGATTATATACCGTACAGACATCTTATTATTATTATAATAAAGGTGATTGATTCATTGATTGAATAATATTAATTTTTTATTCTCAGCAAGTAAATGAGTCTCCTGAAAGTCTAAAATATATCTGGTATCCTGAACTTGGTAAATATATACTTTTAATAATAACATAATAAATAATATTCATATATTTATAATTATGTCCGTTATTCATCAAACCCCCCACGGGGTTTGTAATAACATTAACATACCCCCC